GGTCGCTTAATACATTTGATTGACAAAGAATTTCACATGGGTACACATGCAGGCGCATACACGAAAATCTGCAATCTTTTGTTCAGAAATTGTGAAGATTGTTCTATTATTTGATTATTATTTCAATCATGTTTTACTGAGAACAAAGTGATATCATGTATTAGTTAATGGAGAATAATTAAATCGGTTTTGTGCATTACGATTACTATAGCTCAGAATCGTTCGAAATTGATTGCTTCAAATTAATTATCTTGATTAATATCTCTAAAAAGTTAACGGATAGAAGGCAAAAACAAAACATCGTAGATATTTGATACCTTCAGCTCTCATATCATTCAGACTGCGATATGAGTTGTTTGTGTGCGTATAATGAAAATGCAAATTATTTACATGCGTGTGTTAAAAACGTATGCATTTCAGAAATATTATAGCAAATAATGCTGATCTAAATAGTATCTACTCACTACAATTTTTTAATACTTATAAAGTAGAAATTACTTTCAGATATTTGGAATGCAGATTTAAATTAATAAAGTGCCATTCATTATTTTGAAGGCAGTTTTGGATAGTTATTTGCTTTAAATTATTCGTAATATTTTGAATTCGGCTAAGCTTTGTTTATTAAAAAAATTTTTAATGAAGTTATATGACTGACGGATTTTTTAAATTACATTCACAGAACTTAATAAAGTTTTGCTATCGATAATTGGCTTAAAATCCACCACATTCAGCCTTCTGATTTCCATGAAGCTCATTCCAAGACTTAGTAACCCGGTCTCTCATTTTTATTTTGTTCAAAGAGCTGTCTTAAATTTTCCAGCTTCCACCATTGAAGAACTAATTCCAAAATTACGCATTAAATCTGAAATGATCTTTCGAAAAAAAATTCTTCACGATTTTGATAATAAAGTTTGCATATTTAAGTTGCGCAACTGATAAAAATCAAATAATCGTGTAAATAACTTTTTTTAATTGATTGATTTATTTGATTCGGTTTTTGCTACACACAACCTACACTGATAAATATTCTTAAATTTCATAACGTCGAGGTTAAAAAAAGGAGTACATTTAATGAAATAATCACAATTTCATCAATTACATTTCATACTGAAAAGTTAAAAAATTCAAATTAACTCTACAAGTTTTGACTTTAAGATATCTTTAAGTGGATTCTAATGAATATTTAACTTCAATCTTTGAATAGTTATTCAATGACGATTCTAATGAATATTTAACTTCAATCTTTGAATAGTTATTCAATGACTATGTTTTTCATCAGAACCAAGTTACTTCTCAACTACAACAGTCATCTCTTTTAGCATTATAAGTAAATTCTTAATAATTTCATTTCATTAATTTGAATACTTATAAGTATGAAGAATTTACTGATTTACTCCAAAATATTCACGTATCGTTTAGCAGCAAATTTCGATACTGTATATTGGTCTAGCCCCGATAACGCTAAACACCATGAATACTAATCATCGTTATTATATGGGCTACGTAATTGCGGGTCATTAATGCTTTTTTTGTGCACTAAGTCTCAGGAATAAATGCATTTATTTAAATCACATTTAAAATTTTGTATTTTTGTAAAGAACTCCTTCTCTTTCTCCAATGCATTAATCAAGCGCTGCCTGCCTCCACTAAATTCCTTAATATATTTTGTGGCAGCTTGTCTTCTGTATATTATTTTGTGGGAAACTGCTGTGCTCTGTCAAGTTCGATTTATAAATTATCAGTTAATACGAGGTAGTCTCTAATTTTTGTACACAGTTTTGGCGCAGTTTTGTATTCCAATTCGCGTTGTTCAGCTAGAAACTTGACCTTCCTATTAAAAGTACTTTTGGCGTGTTCCAACATGAGATGAACAGATAAATAGATGAATTGATTGATCGAGTGATTGATTGAGTCATTGACTGATAAAAAGATATGAATACATGTAGGGATTATAGCAATTCTAATCAAAGAGATGCATCGGAACTATAATCAATTTTGTTTCATCAAAAGTGGTGCATTTAGTTGATTGGATTGTCATTCTGTGATAAGTAAAAAGGGAAAAATTTTGTGCAGAAAACTGTTTACTTTTCTCCCCGCTAGTAATCAGTCAAAGTGCTCAGTAACAGCTAAACTTTAGTTGTTCATTCAATTTGAAACATTTCTTGAGACGATTTCCTTCTATGACAGTCGTATAGTCTTCAAATTCATTATATTTTGTATATGCTTGAGACACTTTGCATTTTATTTTATGATTGTATTTTGAGAATGCAACCAAAGTGCTAATCATTTTCATTTCTTCTTCTTTGTTATATTAATGGAAGTTTTTGTTGGTATTCTGCAACACTTTCATAAGGTACCAATACCAGAACTACTCCTAACTTTCACTTTAACATCTTTCCTTCCAATACAATGCGTCGCCTGAACCTAAACTGTACAAGCTATCACTCGATAAATGGATAAATCTGTGATTCTAAATTCTACTCAAAGTGAAAAATGAGTTAATTAAAATTGACTAAAAGGAAACTGATTGATGAAATTACTGATTAAAAGTGATAAAATGAATTAATTCTTTATCAAATCCAGAATTATATTTGAATGCAAATGCATTGTTGCAGAGATAAGACACTGAATATTTAAGCAAACATTCACAATTTATTATATAAATTATAAAATGCCTGAGTCACAAAACTGTGCACTTGCACTTGTCTATAGAAGTTTCTAATTTTAAGAACACACTACTCATAAGTTTTGAATATGTGTATGAAGCTATTTAAACCCTCAGTCAACGAGAATAAGATAGAAAAAAATCTTTGAAACAAATTCCTTTGCTCACTAAGGTACTTGTTGCGCAGTTCGCTGTCAATGAGTACTGTTTTGCATTATATAACAGTTGCTATTGAAACGAATAAGGTATGTAGAAATACATGATGTTTCTTGATGACATATTTTGCCGTGCTAACTAATCCCTACACTCCAACCTCCTTGAACAACTTTCATTGCCTCCTGAGTCCTTTTTAGACATACTGCACATTCCCATCTTCCATCTTCAGCAGTTTGGCTACTTGTTGGCAAAATAAATTGATTCTTCATGTGTCCCTAAACGTATCCTTCCAAATCACGGAAACGATTTCAGGTTAGTAACTTATCGTTTTCGCTCGAGTGGGAAGACTATAATAAAGCGTAATGTTTTTACAGCTATGTATTTACATGAAAAGTTCGTTGTCTGTTCTGTTGTTTTACTTAGGATCCAAACTTTTTGTCGAATGTACCCAAATAGTTTCTACTTATTGTGTATTTATTTGCAATTACTCCTTTAATAATTTGATAGCTTCCCTTACCGTATAGTCATTTTATGATGATTAAGTCGAGATTACATGATCGCTACTATACATTACTTTCAGTTATAGCACCAGTAGTATTTGTATACCATCGTAGTATTGGTTGTATATGTATCTGTTAATGAGGTTTTTCAGTTTAAATTTATTAATGCTGTGTTGAAATTGGTCGGAGGATTCAACCAATCAACTGAAGTAATGGGTGATGATGAACTAGAAACGTACAAACTATGGCGGGTCCGAAAAACTGTTATGCAAGTAAGCTTTGTGCTCCTTAAAAGTATTTAAACTCTGGTGTCTATTCGAAATATTTGTCGTTTCCAGAATTATGATTCCATGATTAATGTATGAAGTACATGCTATTAATGATTGTAAAAGAGTTGTTATCATTATTTAAAATTTAAAGATGTCGACATCTTAAAGGTATGTATCAAATTAGAATGTTTTTTTTAAATTTCATCTTTTTGCCTTAACTTTTGTTTTTGTTGGCCTGGCATGGAGCATTAATTAGCATAATTACGTTTAATTTGCACTTTTCAGTTATATCTACTTGTAGTGACTGTTATTTCTGGAATCATAGTTGAAAAGCAGGACTGAAGATCAGATAATTTAACGATGACATATTTTATGAATGTATTTCCAGCCTGATTTGGTAAAACTGTTCTACGTATCAATTCAGCGTATTTTCAGAAAATTTGTAAGTTGATGTTGTATTTTTCATATACAGATGTGTCATGATCGTGGATATTTGGTTACACAAGAAGAATTAGATCAAAATTTAGAAAACTTCAAGGAAATATTTGGAGATAAGCCGAGCGAACGACATCCTTCCCGTAATGAATTAACAGTTTTAGTGGCACATAATGATGATCCCACTGATCAGATGTTCATATTCTTTCCGGAAGATAGTAAAATTGGAATTAAAACTATTAAGGTTGCAAGTTTTTCTCCCTTATTGTAGATATTTGTTAGGGAGTATGCTATTCTTTAGAATGATTTCAGTCTTTTATGTACATTTTAAGTATCACCATGTTAAAATTTTATTTCATTTTTTGAAGCTAATAACAGTATCTTTTTTATATTGCTCTTTTTCCGAACTTCATGCGTGCTATAGTTTATCAGTTTGAGTTCTTTGTGTACTGTTATTTATTATTAGGCTATTTGTCAACAAATGCAAGAACAAGCAATAACGCGAGCAATTATTGTCGTGCAAACTGGCATGACTCCTTCAGCTAAACAAGTTAGTATGAAAATTCTATTCGAATTTTTTAATTTTCGATCTATAATTTTACTTGTTTTTTTCACATGGAAGTATATTTTATATTCTTATTCAAACGCGTGTATTGTATTGTTGGACCCCTTATTTACTGAGTTTCAAGCCTAGTTATAATTTATTGCCCATTAAATTTGCTGCTCTTCTCATCCTTTCATTCCATTCACTCATTAGGCTTGTTTGAAATTCAACTAGACATTAGATGCCCGCATCATCATTGAATTTCATTGCTACATGTTGTTGAATTCTTCTTTACATTTTTCAAACTAATGTGCGATAATTATAATTGGTTGCAGGCAATAGCAGATATGGCACCAAAGTATACGCTCGAACAATTTTTAGAAGCCGAGCTAATGGTTAATATAACTGAGCATGAGTTAGTACCAGAACACGTCGTTATGACAAATGAAGAAAAAAACGAATTACTCGCACGATAGTAAGTTATTATTTCGTTGTTTCAATTATTCTTCCTTTTATTCGTAGTGTTTTAATCTTTTTTAATGCTAGACTCACAAAGTTCAAAAGTTAATTGGATCGGATTTGTGTAAATATGTGAACTGATGATCGTTTGGTAATTTCATTGTGGGAATATTATGTTATATAATTTTGTTTTTTAAAATTTCCTTCAATTTCCTTTCTTATTTTATCGGTTGTCTTACATATGATAATAGGTTTTTTATTACATATGAAATAGACAAGTTTTTCAGCAAACTTAAGGACACGCAGTTACCACGTATTCAGCAGTGTGATCCAGTTGCCAGATATTTTGGTTTACGTCGCGGACAAGTAGTGAAAATTATTCGTCCATCTGAAACTGCTGGTAGATATATAACTTATCGTCTTGTTGTTTAATGCAGAGATCGTAATGATATGTGCTTTTAGTATTTTTCTTTGATTTGTATTAATTTGACAAATAATTTAAGATCAATTTATTAACATTTTTCTGAAGAAGTGAATAATTAGTTTTTACGAGTCACATATTTGTTCCCGATTAATAATTATTATTGACCTTGAGTTTCCATTTTTTTTAAATTTTTTTTTTGCTGAAAACAATCTGAAGTCACTTTTATATTTTGCAGTAATTTGTTACATTTTAAATGTTTGTATCTTAATATGACTCATGAATTTCTTCAAAGCGCTTGTGTAGTTGTAGTAATATTTGATGTTGATTCTGATTAATAAATCATATTTGTTAAATTTAGGTTTACTCAAATTTTTTCTTAAAATTGTTTGACTTTTCTGCTTCATTCTGCTGGAAACATATATTCACGACTAACAAATGGACATCGCGAACAACAATTATTTAGCTCTAATTTTTAATAGTATGACGTATGGGATACAGCACATCTATTATTTCTGGATCTCAAATTTGAACGTGCGACTCAGAAATTTGAGAACTTATCAAGCGAATTCAGTGATCAATTTCGCAATGTGTAGGGGTGTCACGACATGTTTCTTGTACTAATTTTCTTGTTCTGACGGAAGGACATAAAGGTTTCCAAGTACTACTGTAGACAAGTGAGGTGCAGTTTTCAACTATCGCATTTTTGCAATCGTATAAATAGATAACCATTACTTGAGAGGAATTCGATAGGGATGATAATTTAAGAAAGAACTTGGAAATATAGAGCGAACGCTGTGAAAAATGAGAAGCGCTGAGATTTATGCTTTTAGATTAAGAATGCAGATTAATTAATGGGATTAGTGTAGACTTCTTTTCATGCATCGCTTATTTTTAATGAAATATCTAAGAAAGATTCATCTACTCGTAGCCACATTTAGCTGAAAATTTTCACTTTAAATCTCCTCTAATATTTTTTTAAAGCTAAGATAACTCCGTGACGTATTCACTTTGCACTAGGATCGCATTCGCTACTTGCCAAATTTTAAGAGCCTGAAATAGGTTTCAGTAATAATTCTGATCAAAAGTACCATAGTTTCAGAGTTTACGAATCTAGATTAACTGATGTTATTATTAAGACATTTTTACACACCACTTAGTTGTAATTGATTATTATTTTACAAATATTCTAATAACTTTTGGACGTAAATTTCAGGAGATGCGTCAAAGTAAAAAAGAACGGGAGCGTCAACTCCAAGTCAACAATGCTTTTTTAAAAGTAAATCTTTGTGTTCAAAGTTCAAAAATGCCTTCCAAACAAATTTTCGCTAGTCAGTGCTATGGTACCGATACACAAGGAAGAAAACCTGTTTTACGGATCATAACAGATAGCAATGCAGTGAATAAAAATAATATTGATCTCACAAATAAAATCATTTCGCACTAAAATATTTATATGTCGCAATTCTTGCTGAGCTGGGTAACAGTCCTGATATGCTCAATTAAAATTTTGGACATTGTAACACATTTCTTAACTATCTAGAAGTCATTTAAGGTTATAAACAAGATGGTTGATTCTTAGGCTTCGTTGAAAATTCTAAATCGTATAATTTTTTCAGCTCCGACAAATGATTCCGTGTTATCCAATTAATCGCAAAATGAGCAAGCATGAAATACTACGTGGAGCGATTCGTTATTTACAAATTCTTGAGTATTTACTCGGAATGCGCAGCAGTTTTGTCTAATAATTTGGAAAAAATGATGGATTATAATTATGCTTGATTCAGTCTTTCAATCAAATGCTTCCTACTATGACTGAGGAAATAAGCAGGGGTGCATTCCAAGAGTATTTTTGTACACATAAAACCATGTGAGACTAGTATTTCATTCGCGATGTTTAATATTATGTTTAGAAAAAATGTTGGTCATCACAGAATTCATGAATGCGTTATCATAAATCTTTGTCCCATCAAGATTCATTTTAAAAAGTAGTTACCTAAAAAAAATAAGAATGGTGTATACTTGGTTCTACATTTAATAGGATGAATAACTGACGTTTATTGGTTTACTGTTAAAATTAAATCATGTTTATTAATGAATCGATAACAATCATGTCTTTTGCCATCGAAATATTGATGATATAACACTGTTAATGCTTCTGGCGCACTTTTTCACGTATCCATTCCGAATCATGGTGATATTTTGGGTTTGACAGTAATAAGACACTCCGTTTATATGTGTAGTAGTATAGTATTGCAGCTGGAAATGTTAAATTTGCATGAAGAAAGCATGTCAATCGTTAAAAAGTTTTACACTTATAGATTAGTAACTTGGTTTCGGTGCTGAAAATAATTACCAAGCAAGGAAATATTGGATTACTAAACCAAGAAATAATAAATTGAGAGTTAAGATATTTGGTATTTATCTTCACCAGATTGACTATTCTTGTTTGAATAATCAAGGTAATTGTGCAGTGCTTGAAATAATTGAAGATGACAATTTTTCCTGGTCAAGATGTGTTCAAACTTCAATAAATGTGCGTCTCATTTATTGAATTATTGACAGTTGTTGTGATTCAAAAGTAGAATAATAAATATGAAAACACGGAAAGGAATGTTAGCTTACTGATTCGCTGTAAAAGATATAAAATAAACGGGAGGACTGACCACGTACTTCTGTGTTCTGAATGGTACCAATGATGTCTCTGAAACAAGTGTAATTTTGTGACAGCAATGAGATAAATATGCAGGAAAGGAAGTATAACTTTAAATTCATCTCAATTTCAGTGAGCATTCTTAGCCAAAACCTTTTCAGAAAAAGTAAAACAACGAAGTACTTGTCTGCAAGCACAGAAAGCTAAAGTTGCTATGTTGAATTCTCAATGAGAACTGTAATAATGGAACTGTCTCATTCGCTAACTTTTTGAAATATTTTAACGCATTATTTTAAAGAATGCACTTGATGTATAAACTAAAAAAAATACCATTCTACTTCTCAAATTTTTAGTCTTACCATTAGAATGAAATGGAGCAGCATTGAAACTATAAGATACAAGAACGATACAATGATTGCTGAAGCAAATTTGTAGATCAGTAATGAAATAAGGCCAGCTTGGAAGACAAAAGTTGATGAAAAGGATATAAGGATAATGATAAGACTGAGAAGAATAAGTGTATCTTGGATTCTGAAATACCATGATTCATATATTTTGCAGTTCTGCAACGAAGATACCTCAAGTCTAGTACTGCTATTTAATCATCTTCATTCATTCGCTAATAACTGGCAGTGAGAAAGAGTTTATGTTTTTAATTCATAATTATTTTGAAGCTTAAAATATGTATTGAAAATTTGATGAATTAACATCAGCAAATTTGTTCGGTAACGGACAAGAGTTGATTATCCAACTGAGACTTAATTTCAGTGAAAAAGACACAACTTCTAATACTTCATATTCTTCACTTCACCCTTCATATAAAAAATGAGGAGTTGTACGGTCATTATTTGCAAAATTATCAAAAAGTAAAATTAATTTATTATCTTACAAGTAAAGGACCAAGTAGACAGTGCTGTTAGCAGTAAAAAGTATGAGGGTAGAGTTAAATATCAAGTCAACTGCAAGCATACACATTTGAATAGATATCATCGTACCGTATTTTCTAGCCATAATATTAGAGCAACTGTAATCTGAAATGATGTTAGTTATATAATCATGAATAAACCTAAGCTTGCCACGAATAAATCCATTAGCTGAATTATGAAAATGATAGCACTAACGTTAGTAGCGTATCCAAGGAAACCTTTGACGCTTGGGAAAAGTATATGAGAGGGCTTCACTGTTTTAATTTTAGGATATAAGTGATAGACATCACAGATAATCAAGACACATAAGATAAGTATATCAGATAATTGCGTTTTTTCTCGGTGTCAGATGCTGTCAAACTATGCTGACTAGTGATGCCAACTTCTATCAGGATTACTTCACGTCGCTACTCGTATAATAATATTCGGTCATTTATCAGGTATCATAATCAATCCGCTTTTATCCTAATTGCAGTTCTGACTTGTTTATCGACTCTGCATATGCGGGAATATAAATTATCAATTTCACTTTAACGTAAAGCTTATTCAGTGGTAATAATTGAGCTAAAATACACACCAAATTAAAAGTGAGGTGATTTAAATGACAGATTGTTGTGATGATAAGCTGCAATGAGATACTTTTTGAGATTGCAATTGCGAGCCATCGATTCTCGAACCTAACTGCCATTTAAAGATTATTCTGAGGAAGGGACCATTTGGAGAGTACTAGCAACAATACATACGGTAACAATAGTTTCTGAAATGACTCCTGACTGCATGGTTGTGTGTGTGTGTGTGTGTGTGTGCCTATATACTAACAAATTTGGCAATTCTTGTGAGAAAATTGCATGCCCACCAATTACTCAGAAACAAAATTACTCAAGAATCTTGGCCTGAGAGAAGTCATTATTTTCACCTTTTCCATCCTTTTCTCCTGTGCATAATTTGGATTTGTCGAGTAGCAACGCATTTATTCCTATTCCACGAATTATCCCATGTTGAATGTGTTTTGTTGAGAGCATATAAAAATGCTTATACAACCTTTAAGAATCATTTCGGTAATTGCTGTGATTACCACAAAATCTGCTCTGAACTAGTCGATATTTCACGCTGTTTCACTATGGGCTTGAAACTTGAATGTTTTGCTGTATAAAATGTAGTTATTTTGATGATAAATTAGTGCACATGTTTTAAGTATTAGTAGTATGAAGTGACCCGAAGATATAAGCATTAACTCCAAGTTAGGTAAGTTCAGTAACTCAAGCGTAGGCATTCATTAGTGAAATATCAGTTTCCGATATGACTAGAGGACTTTCGTAGCATTCTTTGTTTAGATTATTCATTTTACTTTGTTTCCACGGTACGTATGTATGTCAGTTCGTTATGCTAAATTGTACTTCTTTTCGAACAGATTGTAAAAACTGAAAAATTCCAATCATCCTTTAACTCAGTTGTTTTTCCAACAAATTGCAAAGCTCTTACTAAAATCAAATGATTTTTCTCAAGCATTTATGTTGCGCTTCTCAGTGACTATCGATGCGTTCTTCACTTCTGTTTCTATTTGCTCGAAAGTTGTGGTTGGTGGTTGCAGTAGCATTCTATAATTCTGTCGTTATTCTTCAAATGATTTATGTTTATGTTATTATTTGTTAGCACTTTGCAGTTTTTGCGTAGTCATAGCACTTTATTGATTTCCACCACGTGCGACGTGAAGGAATAGCGATGGCAGCTTTCAGTAAGCTTACAATTTTATCACCATTGTTAAAGCAATCATTGCAACGAATGTATGCAAAGCAACTGACAGGCAAGTTATAAATTGCGTATATATATGATACCCATTTTAAGTGTAATTTCTGTTTTCGTATTATCGGTTATATTTATTGTTGACAATATCATTGTGTTTACAGTGTGCTTAAGAACTAAATAATAAATTCTGGTTAAAATTAAACTGTATGTATTGATCAGGTGACTCAAAACCAATGCTATAGATTGCTTATGCAACTGCTGTAGTTTAGTTATTGCAACTTCTAGCTTTTATTGGAAGTAATTGATAAATTAATTTTATGCCATAGAACTGAATTGTTTATTTCAAATGTTATTTGGCACGACTAAATGCTTTTACAGAGTTATGAGTTGAAATTACGTGACCTATGATTCACTGTAGCTGACTGATTTTTTCAACCCATGATGTGTATTCTTTGTAGCAAAATATTTCAGTGCTCCCAGCTAGATTTTCATCACATCGAGTTTTCGTAAGACGCCCATCAACACTTTATTTCAATCGTTTAAAAGATATTACCCATTTCTACGTGATCGGTCTTGGTATAATGCCTGTGGTTTTGTTGTCTGCATATATTCATATCGTGTATGGTAAAGCTTTCGTCAACACTTTCCACTTTTATTTGCATATATCTTTCTTCGGTTTTTTCACTTGTCGCAATAGTTACTAACTAACGTACAGTTTACAGAATTTCACTATTAAAAATCAATTTATTTGAGGAGCATGTGAATTGCAAGATTTGCCTACTGATGGGCCTCCTGTACATTACTGGCAATTTGAGCGAACACCATTGAAACAATGGACTGCAAAATATCTTTGTCCGTCTGATATAGAACAATACGAACGTAATCTTGCCTATTTTGAAAGGGCAAATATTTTAAGTAGATGGAGGTTTGTATCACAGCATAATTATTATCCTTTATAATAAATTTTTCGTTTTCGGAAATTTTGCGACTATCAAATTAAAAAGTTTGGTAGCAGGTGTACTATACTAAGATATGCTTTTATTGCAAGTGGTATTTTCAGAAAGATTGAACAGCGTGTGGAACATTTGCAAGGTGAGCGTTGGGATTACAAAGCCTGGTGGTATGAACCAGTTTCCGCTAGGTGGACGGAATATGGAAAATGGACTGCAGAACGGATGAGACATCAACCGTCCCAATTTTAAGTGTTTTGTATCAAATATTCAAAACGAAAATAATGGCTATTGTCGTGCTGCAATGCGTTCTTTTGGATAAGATAAGGTTTCCTTATTTCTTGTACTTATGCTCATTGCCGCATTTATTATAGGAACTTATTGAAATCGCTTTCAGACTAAATAAGTAATGATTTCTTTGAGTACAAAAGTGTTCTTAACATTACATTGTGGGTTTCATTATTAATTTTTGATCATAGTTATTGTGCGATAATGATTAATAAAAGTTGAAAAGTTATGCAAAAATAATGCACCGAATCTAGAGCGTTACGAATATAAACTTAAACAAATCATTTTATATGAAGTCTGATAGTCCATGAGTTGACTAGACTTATTTGCAACTAACAAGTAATGTAGAGAGGAGAGACAAAAATTTACATAATGCGGCAAAATTAGTCATATTGGCATTTATATAAATAGAACACTTTTAGGATGTCATCAAAGAGAGTAGACTGATTAGTGTAAAAATAATACGCGCATTTTACATCTTTAAAATGAAGTATGCATGAAAATACTTTAATTTTTTAAATATTTTTAAAAATAATGTTACGTAAAGAAGGTGCAGGTCTAATGTTAAAAGTATTTATAAAAACAAAATTGATAACACTGATGTGGAAGTCCAATTTTCATTAAAAATTCCACTGCTTACTGTGACACTAAAGTTTGTTAAATATCAGAACTGCGTATGAGAAGTAAAAGAGAATCTGTTATAGAGAAATAAATGTGATGAGATCACTATCAATGGTTTAAAATGGTAGTGATGAAGTCAAGAGGTGCATGTTATATCATCCACTGCAGACAAAGAAACAAGGAAAATATGCTTGTAATAAGATGTAATGAACACAAACTGATCCTTGTAAATGGCAATTTAAGTGAGGTTTACATTTCAAAGAATTTATTGAAATAATTGTTCTAAAATGTGCCGCTGGTGTATTATTTTTCAAAAAAATGTATACATTCCGTTACTAAGTTATAATGATAAATAAATATCACAGAGAGTGAAAATCATACATATTTGGCTATAATAAGACCTTTCATCATGTCGAAGGTGTTGTCATCCGGATGCACAGCCATTGTTTTTCCACTTTTGCGACTCCGAACTTCAAGATATCCATAACGGTCCAGTCCCCGGATCACAACCTTTTCATTGGTATCCGAAAGGATTATTTCTTCCCTACTGTATATGTATATGTCCGAGACATGATTAAGAACCGGAATTGCATCGATACATGTGAGTTTACAAATATGATGATGATGAATTTGGAAAAATTATCTAGATCTAAGCATTCGGTTTTTTTCAGTCTAGTTTCAAAATGCATATTTTCGATTCATAATGCATATATTTTACTAGTTGAAAACAAATGTGCTGGTAACAATTAACCTGTGAAGCCAAAATTGGTAGTAATGTTTCAAAAATGCATCTTGACCATCACGTTCATATAAATCCATATAATCTGAAAACAAACCATGAGACTCGTGTGTATTTAATAGTAAACCAAAGCAGATATTAATCAGATAGCTGAAAATGAATCAGGGCTTTTCACACTTATCAGTGCAACTTAACGCTTGACTGACTCAGGTTCAATATTTTCTTGCGAGAGCTCATTTTATACCCAAATAAAAAAATAAAAAACCACGATGATATGCTCGTTCGAGACGTTAAGTAACAAACAATAATTGAATAATTGTAAGAGCAATAATTTGTTAACACTTATAATGTATGTTGACAGTTTTTTTGCTTTTTCACAATCAGAGCTACCTCCCTGCACTGTTTACAAATTATGAATAATATCAAAAAGAAAGTAATAATGTCTCTCATTGACAATTGATAAATATGAAATGGACTGTGAACAAAATTTACATACACTGAAATTTATTGAGAGCGTTTGCTATGAAATCTTCTTGCTGTATTCTTAATTCAGGTGGCAATAAATCATTGATACAGACTGTTGGTTTGCTATTCGTTAAATTCAAACCAACACCTATTAAAGCAAAATAGTTTAAATATTACTGATAACAACTATATGCGTCAGTTTATGAAATGCCAAGTTATGAAAGTATAGAAGTGTTTATTTATAATAAGCTATAATTGAAATACCATACTTTAGAAACTGACCAAATTGACTACAAATAAATGATGCATTCGAAAAAAGCTTATCCTTTCTTTAACCAGACACATACCATTTAAAGCTAGACTTATTATAAACAAAATCTATCACCGGTGAAGTTTGATAAATTCTAATCTCTTATTTTAACATCAAATGCTCATCCTTGTCAAAGCATCAAAAACTTCCATTACTAATAAAATTTCATGCTTTGAAAATAGCAAAAGAATGAAGCAGAAACCAGTTGTTACCTGCAGTACAAACAATGTTGTCATTAAATGTTGTCGCATTTACAATTAGACCACCCACTTTACATGTTCGACCATAATAAATATCATTTGGCCATTTGATTCTTAATGGGAAATTCTAAAACAAAATGATCTACTTTCTGATCCTTTTTCAAAATCATATGTGTATATTTGTGATGCTTGTTAAGGTTTTTTAATTAACAAAACAAAATGAATATATTCATTAGTCTAATTCTATGCTTTCAAAAACTAGTAAGGCATTCTTTTCCATCATCTTACTTCCTTTAACTATCAGACCAACAGATCATATTGAAAGAAAAAATTAATCATTTTATTCCAATTTAAAATCAAAATGAATTTAGATTATTTCAGCATCCCTGTAATTCAGCTTGAAGAGAACGAATTCCGTCAACAACTGCCACGCAAAGAATATGTTGAATGAAGCCAACATTATTACAAAGAGATGATTCAGATGACAACATATAATTAAATGTAAACATAGCACATCCGATAGGACTTAACCATTGATTTCCTTTTCGTCCTAAATGTACTGTGGTGGTAAATGATAAAAGCAATATTTGCAACTTTCACAACAAAATAATAATAATTAGACAAGCGTTTGTTACACTGATATTGCATTACATTAAATAATTCGCTAATTTCACTTCAATCCTCAGTTCATCAGTACCATCATCTCATGTACAAAAAGAAGTAACTCTGAGTTTTTACACCAGAATAAGCTAAATAAAGCCAGTTATTATGAATTTTATACCATGCTTTGTAAAAATTTCACAAATAAATGAAAAGCAATTAGTTTCTTATTGAATTTATCAGTCACTTTTCAGTCCATGAACAAACTATATGCTAACATTATATCATATTATCTAATTAGAAAGCATTAGATTCGCAAGCTCCAACTTTGATCAGCATGTTTCCATCGAAATATTTGTCAGCAAATTTTGAGTAATATTTTTCAATAGAAATAAAAAATTAGAAATAAGCAAGCATTTCTACTCCACCTGACCTGTTCCATTAATTTGTTGTCTTGCAACGATAACAACTGGCTCAGTTGGCATAACGCACACCAAACTGAAATAGTTAACAAGTAAAGTGTAAGAAGAGTTAATCATATGTATAAATTATAAATAAATATTGCTAAAAAATCCCGAACATTTGCGTCAACTGATACTTTAGTATTGATTATTAATTTGAAAAGTCGACACTAATTGGTTACTCGCCTTTTTCCTATCTTCATTGTCGTCTCACATACAGGAACATAAAGTAAAGCTTTTCCGAGCTTCCGAGTGCTAAGTCTTCTGTAAGTGTTTCCATCACAATTCATATTTAAAATTTAACAAAAACATTATCAATTTTATGATTAAGCAACAAAAAACTATACTTGAAATATATCTCATCGTTAAAAGAATCAGGTAAATGATCGACACGAGTCCGTACTTCAATCGGCAATAATTCCTTAGAAGCTTCAGGCAAAGGTCCATGTTTTCTGATCTGCCTCAGTAAGAGTTTAGGCATGCTGCCAAAAGGTTCGTCAAAACGCATGCCCTATGCCAGAAAGCAAAAGATTAAATTTAATTCATTGACGTAATTAAATGGCACAAGATCACCAACATCTTGCAATTTCAACTATTTTACAAACTATATCATGGGTTTCAAGAAAATTGTTAACAAAATGTTCACTATACTTTATATAAACAACAAAAATGTACATAACTTAGTGTCTCTAAAGATATTTAAGACATTAATTTATGTCTTAGTGTCTTAAATATTGAAATATATGCTAATATTTGTAAACCTAAAAACATTTTGAAATTGCTAAGACTTCAAAATTTTATCATCAATCCATTTACTTTACTTACTTCCATATCCCAAGGCATTCTATCGTATTCACAAATGAAATATCCTGGCGTACAAGATAACGCCGTTGAATTTGTACTAATCTTAATTGAAAGACGTGAGAGTGCATCAGCAATTAGTGCTGATCCAGACTGAAGTAACTGCTCACTTGTCGCATCACTAAATAAAGCACTTGCATGTTGAGCAGCATTCTCCATGTATAGCAGTAATGGGCTGTCTGAAAGTGATAATAAAGTGCGCAAATTTCTGAAACACAGTACAACCATGCATGTACGTACATGCAATGAAATTTGAAAATTAAAGTCAAATTTAAGAAGTCACGAAACAACTAATTAATTGCAATAACTTAATCTAAAAATTCAAAGTAATAATGCGAGTAATATAAAATCAAATAAAAAACCTTCACTTTTACTCAGTACGACGGAATACTTATAGCCACCAACAAAATCCTTTGCATGGAATGTTTGACTCACCTACAAAAAATCCACCAACATTATAAAACTTAATTTATATGGGACCAATTTTCTTTTCGTAAAGATAATCAGCCTTGAATTAAATAATTATTAAAGTTATGCATTTCAAAACATGCTATACCTTTTTATCTTTGAGTAAACTTTTAACGGTTTTTTTCAAAAAAGTCTCGAAATTTTTGCCAAGTTTTTTTGACTGCCGCTCTCCAAATGCCATTTTTAACAATCTGGCTGTTTTTTTTGACGTTTCGCAAGCAGTTATACTAGCCAAAAGATTATTTTGGCAAAGAAATAGCATTTTACCGGACTGAAAATGATGAGTGCAACTTGCAAATGAAAGCATTGCTAAAGAAGTGCAACAGTTTCAAAAATAACTTTTTTGCTCTTCAAGAATTCCGGCACTGTTTTCCTTCTGATGAAAGACCAAACTTTTAAACATCCTGCCCAACTCGTTATATCAAACACAAACATACTACTTTTTTCCGTAACGACTTTTTATTACTTAAAAAAAGAAACTAACGCTATCAAAATTAACTGCAATGTAACGTTGAATGTTTTCAGAAAAATGTACATTGTTAAAATATTGTTGCAATCGAATCCAACACTTATCATCTAAATGTGCGGTATCAGCTACGATTAAACATGCTGTATTTTCTACAATCCATTCATATTTACTAAATGCTTCATACGACAAATGAGCGATAGTATGAGTGTCATATGTTATGATTGCTTTCACAATTTCAAGAATCCGATTGTACAACGCTATATTATTGCCAGTAAATATTAATATCTGAAACAAAAATAATCTCATCAAATTAATCCTCGTGACGAGAAATTTTCCTCATAGTTATTAAATTCAATCAATTCTTACATAATTAAGCATTTCACAAATGTTTTAAGCAAACATAAACTTATTTAATAATATTTAAGATAAGACTGCACTAAATTTAAATACTGATATATTAATGAAAAGGGTACAAATGAAATTCAAATAATCTGAATGTATTTTCAATTATGCCACAGTATTATACTTATTAACAATATATTCATACAAGAATTTGCGCTCTAGTCAAAGTTTTTAAAATTTTTTTAGTGAAAGAAACGCCGCTTTTGAATAGAATTATTTTAAGAAATTACCATTGACGGTTTCGCATGAATTTTTTCTCCACCTGTCTTACCCTGCAGCAAACGATACAAAGAACCACTAGAAGACCGATACAACTCTTCATCAAATAAGCTACTTGACTGCTTTTTTGGTGTCCATGATAATTCTGACTGCCGAATCAATACAGGATCAGCAGAGCAACTACGATTACCTACAAAATAAAAAATAAGAACAATGAATAATAAGGTAAGAATGAAAGGGTATAGCAATCACAAGTTTTCAGTAATACATCAATATTTGAATACTAATTAAAAAAACAATAAGTAGCGAAAATTTTTTGTTAATAAGGAAATGGAGGCAAACTTATAATCTAATTAAAAGAATTAAGAGAAAAGCATGGAATTTTTTAAAACATATCATAATTTTGTAACCAATCACCGACTATTCGTAATATTCAGTACTTGAATTAAAGTAATCTGCTGATTTGATCAGCTGTCCATGAATTTCTTTCTATGGCAACTCACCAGAAAAGATTTGTTTCCCTACTTTTTTTCACCCAAACATTTCAAATTCATAAACATCCCCATTTCAACAATCGTGATAAAATATTTGGCATCGAGTACTTCATAATTAAATAAACATTAGAAGCAAACTATATACCTGGTGAGAAATTGACATTATGACGTATAGGGGTCTGAAACATTGAGAAAAGTGTTGGGTAATGCAGAAAAAAATAACTGACTGTAAAGCATAGAACTACACATGAATTCACACTTTATACTGTTTGCTATTTTCGAAACATTCTTTATATCAATAAATAATTCAATATTACTAAATGTGATAATTATTTGCTACAAATTTTACAGCATATCAATGACCAAATTTTTCTCAAGCCCATCAATAATCAAACAGGAATACTTTACAGAGCTAAGAGCACAATTAAGTGTTGTATGGGAACTAAACATTTGACTTACTGGGAAACTTTTTCGATTTTCACTCATAATGCTTCGTGATGATTCATTAACATCGACATTAACTGATCTGACATTTCCGCTATTAGTGTATAATTTTGATCCATTCTCACTCGATTTCAGTTTTCCATCTGAAATTATTTTTTCCCATACAAACGAGATACTAGCACACGTCAGGTAATTTACTTAATGATAATTTAATTCAATCCCTCATATCCGTAATTCATTGATGAATGATGACAACATGACTAAACTATCTTACTATAACTACTTCAAAAATCTGCAACAGTAAAAGTAACCTTTCCATGATGGGCTTAAATAATGAAGTAATCAAGCAAACTCAAATAATTAATTACATGAAGCACTCAAGTAACCCTACTTCAAAAAGTAACAAGATTCGTTATTAGTGATTGCATTCAAAGTTACTGCAACACTTTTCAAACCTTTATTTTTTACAGAACTGTGATTTCAATCGTCTGCAACTTCGTACTGCCTATTTCTCAACACTCAACTTTCATTACCATCCAAATAAAAATTCGTAAACTTGCTAATGTAAATGAATATTTTCTTTATGAAATTTTATTCAACATATAAGAAACAACTACTAATAACGGATTGATTTTGGATGAACATACACACTGCTCTTCATATATGCTCATTCTTCTCTCTATCAAGCACATCTCAATATGCGCCTCATGTTCTTAATATCTCAATTTCCTCTCTCTCATATGATGAATCCAAAAAATATCACTCAAGTCTTTACTACCTTCTAGTTGAATGCTATTCGACAATTGTGCATTCTGATAGCAATCATTACAGTTACCATTTGAGCAAGTTACGAGTTGATCCGATTTTTCTGACACTGATTCAGGGCTCCGCATATTTGAAGCTTGGCAATCACTCGCAACTAATATTGTTGGAGTGATTTTATCAATGTTTACTTCATTTCCACTGCTTTTTTTTTCACAAGTAGAATCCCGTAAATTTGTACTTGCTACATCAATAACTTCATCTATGATCACTTCAGTAGAGTTTTTCATATTTGATTCATGTGTAATACGATCCATTTTTTTCGATTTCTTCGTGCTGACTGATAAATCTGAAGAACAATTTAGCAATACTTCATCGTCACCAATAACTTTTTCGGCTTCATTCCACAGCTCACTTTCCAAATGTCTGAAACTGAAAATTATACTTTCAATCAGTTGGTGCTAATGCTTAGTGATAACATTAACTCCTTCCTTAAGCATTACTGATAACATTGAAAAATGAAAAAAATTGTAAACAAATGCAAATTAGCATTCACTGCTTTACCGATTCAGAAAATATCAATCATTACAACTGCAATAATGTTTGATAATGGCAACAAGATACAGATTACGGCAGAAATAGACTTAAAACAAAAGTTGACTGCTTTTGACAAAATAAAAATGATGCCAGAAATTGAAAACTCGAGTAACCTTAACGAGATAAGTGGTATTCTGAATAAACAGTTTAAACTTTAAAGCAAAGTTGTAAATGGAGAAAAATAAAACAAGGTAAAAATATCAACTTGTGTGGACGATGTGCTCATGAATAATTGCATTATGCAGTCGACTATTAACTTTTTTTCTATGTTCAGTAGATCGTATATCATTAAGTAGTTACTCAGATGTTTGTTCATAAATCTTTCCAGGTATGCTCTGGCAGTGCTTGCAAGTTACATTAAAAAAACATGAACTTTTTACAAGTTCTGATGATCTTAAGTGTTTGGAAATATATTTGTGATATAACAGTGAAAGAAGTACTACATGTATCAACACTTGACTTAACTTATCTTGGCTATATAATTTAAAAATCATAAATTCATAACAACATAACATTCCATTGTTGGCATTCTTCTCTCAATATCTTAAAAGTTAGTGGAAAAAAAGAAAATCCAGTGCTGCTTTTCAAGCAAGCAATTTAATATGTAGCAGTAAACTGTTTTATCTTAGATCGAAAGCAAAAAACAATTCTCTTTCAAGTAAAACCAAAACAACCTTGGCGACAAATTGCAGATATCGTTCTGCTTTTTGAGATATTTCAAATTAAGTGGGACAGCATCTCTGAGTATTTCATTCGCTTCATCAGAATTTACTGTATAAGATCGTGACCGAGTTGAGCACACTGTCTGTCCAAAACGACCATTATTTTCAGAGCTACTAAATTATGACAATTTTAACTTGCAGTGAAGTTACTAGTGCATAGAACTGATAATGAGTAGTGATAATTTACTAATGCTAATCTAAATTACAAATCTTGCACTACATGCAATATCAATTGAATTCAAATTTGATGCCAACAAAAAATTTCAGCAATCTACAAATTATATTTTCTGAGTAAAGGTTCTTAGTGATAAACATTATCATTCGGCTCCATCATACAATCAGTATCAAGCTTTTAAGTTCATACGTGGAAACAATGAGATAAAACTAATTGAGAACAAAATACGAATTATGTGATAATTTAAGCAATTTTTTGACCAGGTACTGAAATATATTCATCTACTGTACTCAGTGTATAAATGAATAATCACAGGTCATACTCAGTATTCACTGATAAATAAATTCGTCTTTCAAAATTATTCATAGCATAAATCTCTTATTCTCACCGCATAATCTGAAACCTCAAGTGATTTGTATGAAAAAGAAAAATTACTTCAAACTTGACAATGCTGGCGAAAATCGGCAATGATGATCACAATGTAACGCAGAAATACTGCTATGACCGAGTGACGAAGATGATAAATCACGCACACACTTACAGTTATAAATATCCAAAGTATGAGCAAATTCGCGTTGAAACATAACTTCGAGCATCGTAAACGATTTTGACGACATATTATTTTGAGTAAAGTTAATTCCTAGATCACAACCACAAATGTATTTTCGTAATGAAAATGTTATACGAACCATCCAATATTTTTCTCAGTTTTTTTATAACTGTGAAAAATTGATAAAATCGAAAAATTCATAAACATCAAATGATGAAACTAATAATAATGTAACCGACATACGGGAAGACGGTAGTTCTCGTTGTGAGTATTCAATATCAGGAAATCGATGATAGAATGTCTCGGGTAATGTTATCACTGTAAAATTGTTTTTATCTGCTTGCTTATTACACTCAATATTTATTGAACTTCATATTTCAATACTCACTTTCCTCCAAGATAGAAATATATTTCAAGATTTCTAATATAATCAATCTACTTTTTACAGTGCTATTGGCATCCATTTATGAAGCAAAGAATTCATATGCAGTGCAGATCTAAATTATATCCCTATTGTAGCCCCAATTTTTTAAAGACAAAAGTTCTATACTTCGCTTCATTATGGCTAAAGTTTGCTACTAAACTTTACAAATAAAAGGAAAACTATATTTTGCAGAAATAAATTTATATTTAGAAATGCACAAAAAATTAATACCAAAACATTAAGTCAGAGAAACAAGCAATAAATTCTATTTATATTAACAAATGCAATTAGTTTGATCAAGTGCTAGACTCCTTGCGTACATTCACTTATGAAAAGGTGATTATGTATCTACTGCAGCAACTTTTCTACCTTAATCACTTAAATGCAAACACAAATGAACACAATAAAACGACACCAATAAATCTGTGCATAACAGATTTGGGAAGTTCAGTCATACCTTGTATCATTTTAACGACTGCCTTGCCACCAATATCAAATAATTTACTTTGTGACCACGCAAAAGCAATTTCTAAAAAATCATATAAAGTACATTCGTAGAGAATTTCCGAGGGATGTCCGCGACGTTGAGCAATTTTGCTGCATAAGTCACCAATCTGAAAAATGTAAACCCCACCATAATACTTTCTGAAAGCAAAATTTAAGCCGTGATCATGAAAGGAAGGAATGGCATTGTTACTTTTATTGTATTCTATTTCTGTACTCTCCAGACACTAGTTCTATACTACCAAAATGATACGAAAGATTATGGATAAAAAATTTACTATAATTGACGATGAACTTCCATCACCACTGCTCAATGTTGTATTGCCTGAGTTGCTGTTGTAGCATTCTCCAATTTCAATGCGATCTACTGATTCACAATAATTTTCTGGTGTGCTATCCAAAAATGCAATTAAATGAACACGAGGAATTGAGCCATGGTTTGGTGGAGCAAACATATTCCAATCCATAATATCCATGATTACCTTAAAGATACAATAAACTTTATATTTCAAGAAAATCTTCTCGAATCCACTTACACGAAATAATCTTTCAAATACATCTAGTACTAAAAATTTTGGAGCTAGAACTAGGATTCATTATATATAACTCATACATTAGAGTTCATGTGCTATACATATATATATATATA